GAGGCCAAAAGAGGATGGGTCGAGGAACTCCATAGCATCTTGTGGGCGTATCAAACGACACCCCACTCGACGACGGGCGAGACCCCTTTCTGGATAACTTATGGCATCGAGGCGGTCATCCCCATGGAAATCTTGGAACCTTCTAGAAGAACGGAGGCCCCTCTAGACGAGGAACTAAATGACGAGGGCCTAAGATAAGAGCTTGACCTAGTCGAGGAAATCTGTTCAGGGGCAGCTCTTCGCAAGGCCACACTGAAACAACAAATAGCTCTTCGCCATGACAACAAAGTCATAAAGCGCGGATTCCAGCTTGGCAGCCTAGTCCTGCGGAGGAATCAGAAAGATTCTCGTGAAGGGAAATTGGTAGCAAACCGGGAAGGACCGCATCGTGTCCACAGAACAACAGACATCGGGGCATACTACCTCGAACATTTAAATGGAGAACCACTACCTCGATCATGGAATGTTGCAAAACTGAAACAATATTATAGCTAAGTCCTTATCCTACTACGGGTGTTAGCAGTCGACTAGTCATATCCAATCGACGACAAAACGAGCGCGACCACGTAGGCATGTTAAGGTACAAACATGACCTCCAAACTTGAACACCGGCGGGTTGCTGTTCATTCCTTGAATAGAAACTTAGCCCGACAGGGACACCTCAATCGAGCTCCGCTGTCGAAAGTACCCAACAGGTAGAACACCCAGCTTGCGATGGGCAATTCACGCCACGAGCTTAAGATCCCGACTGCAATCTCGAGCTCGTTATTGGAATCCATACTCCACCCCCTCGACACATTCCAACATGTGTCGTCCACAACCAAGGTCGAGCATACATCTCCACTCATGGGAAATGCAAATTTTAACAAAATAAACAAGTTAAAAACAACGACACATGAACAGCTAGTAAACGTTTAAAAAGAAATAAAGAAAAAATAGCTAGCAAACATCAATGAAAACATAAAGGCATAACAACAAAGTAAGAACATTTATAAATGCCGACCACGAAATTCGACGCTGTCGAGAAATTACAATGAATACAGGTGCACAAGCCTTGAATACAAATAGCCAAAATATCAGAGATACTAATCACTTCGAGAGGTGCTCACTTCAGCCTCCACTTTGGGGGAATCAGGAGGGGGAACCATGCAGCCATCAATGAATTGGGACAATACCCCAGCGCCTTCAATCTTAAGCCTAGGATTCAGCACGGGCAGTTGGGTCAAGGCAGTCTCGAAGCCATTAGCCAAAGCGTCGACACAATCTAACTCGAGGATTTAGATCCGAGCAATTAACTTTGCGCGAGTATGCAGATCACCAACACCCTCGGGCTCTCCCTCTGTGGCATCATGGCAGCATTTAAATTGGCTACCTCCCTCTCCATCCGTTCTTTGTCCCCCTCCAGTCGTTCCCTCTCGAGCAACATGGCATCCTTTTCTTCATAGGCCTTGGCAACTTTTTCTTTCTACCTCGCCAACTCCTCGTCCTGCCCCTAAAACTTCTCCTTTCTACGCTCGAGGGCAGTTCTTAGCTTTTGCGTCTTCGCCTGAAGAGTCGCCTTCTCTGAATCCAGTTCCTTCACCAGGCCAGAAGGGCCTGCTCCTTCACCTGCAAGGACCACAACCATCTCTGCGGCCTTCATCGGGCCGACCATCCTGGAAGCCAGGTGCTTCCTTCGACCTTCCTCGTCAAGGCGCCTGATAATGTCACATTCAGCATCAGACACGACCAAAGGGAAACCCTGGAAGAAATCTTTATCCATAAAACAAGGAGGAAGGTTAAAGGCCCGGGAAGTCGCCCCCTCCTCGGTCACATTGGCAAGTCCACTTTCTGGATGACTCCTTTTCTTGCTCAATACAGCCTCGTGTTGCGCGATATCACGGACACCTGACGACCCGCTTGACCCATCCTTGGACGGATATTAGATCGGGCCAAGGCGCGTAGGCTGGTGCGGCTTCACCAACCTCTTGTGATTCTTCTTTTCCTAGGTCAACTTTAACAGTCGTTCCCGATGTTTTGCCATGTTACCTGCGAAAACAAAAAACAGTATCCTCGGGTTAGCCTCGTCAGGAAGACATAAACAAATATCTCAAGAAACAAAAATACAATAAATCATGCAAGCAAAAACCTAGAAGGTTCACGGCCTTCCCGTAGGTTCGAAATTCCACGAGCGCCTTGGTATTGATCGGGCGCGCCTCAAACGTCGGTTCACCGTCTTCGTCGAGAATGTCATGTCCTTCCCTCGTAACCTACCTCGAGGGAAATAACCCATTGATGAACAGAGTTAGGATACCATAGGACTCTTCGTCCTTAACACTTATATTGACAGGAGGGGTGTGATAATGGCTAGTATTGTGCTCGTAGTGACCCGAGCACCAGTGAATAGGGAACTTCAAAAGTCTCCCAATCTCTGGATTGCCCTCCTCGCCGAGATATACTTCCATGTCTTCATCCACTACTTGAACTGGGTCGAACACGGCATCCACGGCCTCCTGGAACGATGGTTGCACAACATACCATCTATCCTTGAAGTCACAGACAAAATTCATGTACATCCTAAACAGTCTCTTCGATTGCTTCAAGGAAACCCAACTATGTTCCCCACCCCTAGATTGGCGTTAGAGGTGGAAAACCCTGAAAAACAGAGGAATGGTTGCCCCGATCCTCAGGAACTGACACGTGATTTCGAAAGCCTGGAGGAAGGCGACCGCGTTAGGATGTAGTTGAGAGGGCGCCAGGTTCAAGTGGTTGAGCACGCCCATCTGAAAATAATTGAAGGGAAAACGAAGCCCCAAGTCTTTGAAAACAACCTCATACATCGGGAAGCGATCCTCCTTGGACTCCGAGCATATCCTTGTTGTAGGAGTTGGTCGCATTACCGTGAAGTTACGATGAAACCCTTCCTTGTCGCCTCCATGCTCGACGAAAGTATATGCTTGCCTTACTCTATACCTATAGACCGAAGCTATCCCTCGAGGCTCTGGCCTAACCCAGGATAATGCAGTATCATCGATCGTGTCGACCAGAAGGACACCTTCATCGACCACACTCGTCTCTTCGACATCTACATGCTCAAACGATTCGAGAGTATCGGCCATTTCACCTGTAAAGCAGAGGAAACCAGTGAATTCGACATCAAAATCAAATCCATCCTTCCACCGCGACACAGGCGAAAGGGGATGGTTGCGCCCGGACCAATTCGACAAACGCTCGTGCAACGAGGAATATGCACGACCCTCGATCAGTGCGTGGAACTTATGAAAATCTCGTGAGACCGCATGACGGTTATAAAAGATAAATGCATATCCCGTGAGCACCACGGGCACATGATAAATATCACGAGCATATCCATATATACCGCGGGCAGAGCATGAATTTTCCAAACAAACTCGTGAATTTTGCATAAATTTCATGGGCAAATTCACGAATTTCGCGGGGGACAGATGAAAGCCACAGGTAAATTCTAGAATTGGTCGGGCAAGAGGATGCTTCAGGGCTTCTTGATGTCGTCGGGCAATTATCCACACTCTTTGAGAGGATGCTGCTTCGCCACATGGGGATGTTCCCATGAAGACGCGAGAAGGTGCATCACAGGGCAAGAGGACCTCGAGAGTATCCGCCTAGCTTCTCCTCGAGCAAGATTGTTCCTCTCGCACGGTCTCAGGCTGGCGAGGGTCTTGCCCGACGAGCAGAAGTACCTCACGAGCATCCTCCTCGTAGGGTTGACTATCAACGCCTCCGAACATTACGGAGTCCATTTAACCCCGAAAAACCCACATCCATATTCTCCTGATCATGCGGGAGAATTCATCCAGGTAGGGGATCATGTGCTGGTCCCCACTACTCACGTAGAACCTGGCAGTCTCCATTTTGGGCCTGCTTGCCCAGCCCAATGAGGGGACCTTGGCCCAGCGCTGGGGGCTATAAATACCCTCTCACTCGAGAGAGTCGGATATTGATCACTTCTTACTCACTCTTACTTGCTTGCATCATTCCGAGTCTCACTTTGGCATCATAGTGTCTTACAGGTACTCCCCGCCTCACTCTCAACTTCTGCTCAACGTAAGTTGTGACGGTTCATTCTGATCAGGTACGATCACAAAGTATGTGTTTAATAATTTTTCTTCACAATAGTTGATTTTAAAAACTTATACAATTACCTTCCAGCCTATTTTTTACTTTTTCTATTAATATTTTGATATTTTCTATTTTGTTTGCATTCCTATGACAAACAATAATAATTTTGCGGTTCATTATAGTACATGTGCGAGCGCACGGATAACACATCAATAACGTGTGACCGCACATGTAATTATACCAAAATCCGTACAAAGTTATTTTATTTTTATTTTTCTTTTAGTGTTGACTAAAAATATCTTATTTTCTTTTGAATTCAAATATGCATTTCTCATATTTAAAAATTGATATATTAACATTGGATTAAAATGACAATTAAAGGATATTAAGTTATAGTTATGAATATAATTAAGAATGCAATATTAAATATTTTTAGGTAAAATTTAATAAATACAACTTAATTTTTTTATATCATTCTCTTTTTTTACAATATTTGTGTTTTATATTTTTTTCTTAAGAATATTTGATTTTAAAAATATAAACATTCATCTTCCATCCTAATTATTTTTTCTTTTATCAATTAATATCTCGATATTTTTTAATTTATTTGACATTTCATAGTAAATTGATGGCAATTTTACAATCTCACGCCTACTAGTTTATATAAAAATTCAAAGATTTTCTATTTAAATCCCTCTATGTACTATCAATTTTTATGTTGGATTAATTTATATAAAACTTTCTTTGCGTTAAAATAGCTCTTTGATATTGATAGTGCAGTGAGATTAATCTCTTAAATTAATTTGTATCATGATTGGATAACAAGATTTAAATTAATTTAACACTTTAAACCAAAAAGTAAAACAATTATGATTAAATTAGAACGAATAACTTTTTTTCTGGGAAACAGAGAAAAACAAATGTTAACACAAATCATGATCCACAGTGACATTTTCTACAACACTAGTCCTCTTAAGTGGATACAAATGCAAAACATTGTTTTCAAAATGACAAGGTTGATCCTCGTCAATCTTCCCCATCTTTCTCACCTGAATATTGTTTTTATATCTCGTAACCGATTGGTCTTGCTTGGTCGGAATATTTTCCTCTTGGTCGACATTGATGATGATGGACTTTGGCAAGTGTGGAATGTGATTGGCAGCTCCAAAACCATATCCTCCGGCGCATTCGATAACACTCTTCATGTAGAATTGTCTTGCTTTCTTGAGAACCCTTACTGGGCCTAGTAGGAAGTGTTTAAGTTTGCTTTTCTTGGTCGTTGTCTTTGTCATGGATACTAGAAAACGTGATGAACAAGTTACGTGAAAAGGTTCTATATCATAATGCAACCGTGTATTCAAGAATATGTTGTACATGGACTATATATGTCTATATATAGAAACTAGTTTATGCGATTCACGACACAAATAAAATATTTATAGCATAGAACTGGCTAACCATGCCTGGAGGGTACATACAGCTATAGCATGTCTGTATGAACATTATGCTAGGCATGGAGGTTTATTTAAATAAGCAGATCTCTTTTATATATGAGTGTGTGAGAGTTATTTATTAATCTCTTGTATTTTTCTCTCATTTACTAAATCTATAATATATAAAAAATTAGATATTTTGAAAATCTCTTATACCTTCTTTCTTTTTATTCTGCCATCTCATCAAATTGAGAAAAAATTGTATTTAAAAATTACTTTTTCTAATAATTGATGTCATTTTATTTAATTTCAACTACACGTTTGTTCTATTATGCGTTTAGTTGTTAAGTTTGAATCAATTGATGATCTCATTTGATTCAATTACAATTTACTTTTTTTCTTTAATATTATTTTTTTTACCTTTCTTTCATTCCATACTATATCTAACAAAAATAGATATCAAATCCAACATCTCTTCATTTCATCTTTTTATCTTATCTTTTTACGGTATCTCCTCTATATACTTAACTGCGTTTTCATTGAAACCGACAGATCTAAAGTATAAATCGACGATGATGTTACAGTTCTGCAAGTGGATTCACGATAACTTTGCGATGATGATGGGGTTGAGTGGCTAAAGATGGCGGAGTAACTTTCATGGTCGGAAAAGAAAATCGAATAACAACAGTGGTGTGTGATTCAGTTTGCGATCTTGTGTATTTTTTCGTTTTTTCCTTCACATATTTTCTATGGCATTTAACTTGCTTCAAAGTTTTGATTTGGTGATTTGCATCATAACTATAATACAAAATTGTGTATTCAATGACATAAGCTACAACTCTCACATCCTTTAATCTGACATGGAATCATTGGATATTTCATATGTTGTTTAGGTGTTGACAATAAGTATGAAATCCTATACATATCATGTTTAACCGGTCAAAAGTGTTCTTAATTTTGGCTCTTAATATTGGATTTCATTTAATTTTTCATCCCCACTAATTATTTGATGAAATGCATATCTTTTGTTTGGAAAAAATGAAAGACAAACTTATATACTATGCTAATCTGAATTTATTGGTTATGATATGATATTTGTTGGTTTTCATAGATAACATTATGATTTATTTATTAGAAAGGAAAACTAAATCGTTAATGGTTTGTCTCGAACCAAATTGAATTTTAGAATTGTTTATAAAAATTATAAATAAAATAAAAAACTGAACGAATTTGTCACATTTTGGCTGCAACAATGATATTTTATTGACTAACTATCATATGTTTTGTCAGATTATAGAGTTGTTGCTAACATATTTGTGGTGAAAATAAGTTACAATATATAATTTTTTTCATAGGTTTCTTTCCATAAAATGAGATTTATAAAGTGTAGTTTTGAATCAGGGGACAATGGATATACGGAAAAAATATATTATTATTCTAAATATTTTATATGAAAAAAATTGATATTTATGATCTAAATATTTTTTATACGAAAATATTTATTATTACTCTAAATAATTTTTCTTTTTTTAACATTCTATTTAAAATAAATATAATAAATATATTAAATAAATAAATGCACGTATCGGACTAAAATTTGTGCGTAAACACAGATTTGTTAGTAGTTTAGTAAAAAGAGGACAATTTTACAAAATTTATGCAAATATTGATTTTAGTGTGTAAAATAAATGACAAAATACTCTTTTTGTTCATTTAAGTATATCTCGGAGTACATTCTGATCCTTTATCTTTAAAAAATTTAGTTATTTAATTATTCAAAAAGATGTAAGTTAGTCTTTTCCGTCTATCTTACATGTAATAACAAATTACCACTACTCTACTTATATTTATTATTTCAAATCAGTTTTACTAGTCCTATAAGATATCTCTTGTTATTTTGTTATATATGTTTAATGTTTACTTTAAGCACTAGTAAATTCCTAATTTATTAGATTGTTCAAACAGAACTATTCTATTTTTTGTTTGTAATACAAGACAATTTGCTATTGGTTTCTTTGTAGGTTCATAAATTTCCCCTTTTTGATGTCATCGGGTCATAATTTGAGATTGATTCAATGAAACAACAATCCGAGAGAAATATTACTGAACTCACTATAAGAGAATTGATCAAAGACTCTTATGAAAATTTGTTTATCGATAATTTTAGAAGAAAAAATGAGATGAACCTTTTTTTATGACTATGAGTCGCTGAAATGTGTTTTGGGCCCTTCACATTTGTTTGAAAATCACTCTTTGGAGACATAATTTCATTTGACACAACATACAAATATACAATGAAAATTATCTATAACTTTTGCACCATTTATTAACAAGAATCATCGTCATCAAAGCATATAACATTTGTGGCTTCCCTTTTGACTGATGAAAAATGAGTCATTTGTGTTGTTGTTTGAGGAATTTTTTAAAACAATGTGAGAACATAAATCTATTCTGATACTAATACATCAAGACCCAACTATCAAATAGAGAAATGATATCTTCATCCCCAATGTGAACTTAAAATAATTAAACCTAACAGACAAGTAATACAAAATATATATTACATCTAGAACATAATCATGTTGACCCAACATAGATAGATATACAGATGAGTCAAGAGACTGAAGTTTGTTGAGAGTCAGACCATAACATGACAGTAGACAAAAGAGCTATTGCGGCAGTTTCAACTCGAAGACGATGAGGCCCGAGACTAACAGCTTTAGCACCTGCTTCCACCATCATATTCACTTCTTTCTCAGTGAAATCTGTAGGACACCAGTAAAACATAAACTGGCGTCAACTTAACTGAGCCTAATAATATCCTTGCCCACCCTAGAAACACAATTATTTGCCAACCACACGCATTTTCATTTTAGCCCGATAAAAACAGGAAGAATTTACCGAGATAATTAACCTTACAGCTAAACTCAACTTATTACCTAATGTCTAGACATGTGGTGAAACAAAAAAAGTGAAATTAGACTAATTAAGTATACTAACCGCCTTCTGGTCCGACTATGAGTAAGCCACTAGTTTCCTTTCCCAATGACGACAAGGCATTAAGAACAGGAGTTGCTTCTGCTGTTGCGACAAGAGATAGCTTTGATTGCGCAATCTAAGTGACAGAAAAAATATCAAGTTATGATCATAGAAGACATGTGTTGGAACTCTATGAGCATAATTCATATATTGACTATGGAGGAACATATATTGAATTGCTAACACCTAACACCGTTGGAATCAAATCCACCGTTTAATTCAAAGAAATCCAAGAAGGAAAAAAAAAAAGAGAAATAACAAACATATCACTGGTAAATAAGATGGAATCATCAATGTTGATAGGTTATTACAATTCACTGGTCAAAATTCTTCTCGAACAATTTAAATTCATAACAACTTTCTTGCCAGGAAGTTAGAATGAAGAACTTACAAGATGCAAAATATCACCAATCTGTACAGGAGGTTTCAGGATCATTTCATGTAGGCGTTGACCTAAAAAAGAGGCAATAATACAAGGTTCACAAACCAAAATCAAAATGGATCACCCTTCATTTTAGACCCAACATTAAAACTTAAGTTTAAATAAGCCAAAGAAATTTCTGAAAGGAGCAAAACAAATGTATGGCTTCAGATGCAAAAAGAAAAACAATTACATTGTTTTGATGCTGCTAAAATGACACGTTCCAGTCTGTCCACCCGATTTTCTGAGATTGACGGAGAACGTTCAGTCAATAGAGGAGTAACACTACTGGCTCCAAGTTCCTATGGAAAGTCGTGAATGGAAGAAAAACAACCTTAACATATAAAGGCGCTAATCTAACCATATAAATTTTCAATATGCTATCGAAACATACTGTACATTTCTCTACAAGCCAGTCCGCACGGCCACCCTTCAGAGTACCTGTAAGATTCTCAACGTGTGAAAAAATTGGGTGGGAAAGTCAAGTGTTGAAAACAAGTAGTCATATACAAGTGATTATTATTTTAATAGAACACTACTCAAACTTACCAAAACCAGAAAATACATGCAATTGTGAATTCTGTGGAGGTACTAACTTCGGATCAGTCAATGCAACAAAATCAAGTCCAGAGCGGTCAATATTCTGTATGCATCCTTCTACCAGACCCCCTTTCCCATTGAAGAGCTGTACCCTTGAACATCATAAATTGGATCTTAAACAAAATGTTTTCTGGCTCACAGTGCTAGACAGAAATACTGAAACATGGCCTAGAAACATGGGCAATAACTATCTTACATTTTACTTCCATTGACTTAAAAAGCAGAGTAAACAATAATTGAGAAAACAACCGTGACAAAAAAAGAACCAAAATATTGACAAAAACCATTGAAAATCCATTGCTGAGGTAAACTCTCTTCACCCCTTCCCATTACCACATAAAAAAAAATCAGCATTTAATAACAGACAAACAAGGTTTGCGGACATGGAATATTCTACATTCAATCTACTATGATTTGCCGAACGCACCAATGCTCATTAGAAATCAAATGTCTATAACTATAATTTTGAAAGACTATTCAATATGTCAAAACAATATCCAATTTCAAAGATAAAATTAATTGAAAATCCAACAAATTATCCTTTCACTCACTAGGTGTTATGAATAATGGTTACCTAGCATTGGCGGACAACCTCAAAACTTTTGTCATGTGCCAGAATTCATCGCCTTTTACCCTAATAACACTACCCTGAATGAATAGCAACAGAAACAAAAACAAACAAATAATTATCTTCAAACCATTGGCCAATCCAAACCCAACGTCAATGGTTTTGCAGAAAAGTATGAATTTTCACCTATTAGTCAAATTCAAGAGTGATTAGAATACGATTTTTGGCATT